GTTCAGTTCTAGTTCAGTTCTAGTTCAGTTCTAGTTCAGTTCTAGTTCAGTTCTAGTTCAGTTCTAGTTCAGTTCTAGTTCAGTTCTAGTTCAGTTCTAGTTCAGTTCTAGTTCAGTTCTAGTTCAGTTCTAGTTCAGTTCTAGTTCAGTTCTAGTTCAGTTCTAGTTCAGTTATAGTTCAGTTATAGTTCAGTTCTAGTTCAGTTCTTCTAGTTCAGTTCTAGTTCAGTTCTAGTTCAGTTCTAGTTCAGTTCTAGTTCAGTTCTAGTTCAGTTCTAGTTCAGTTCTAGTTCAGTTCTAGTTCAGTTCTAGTTCAGTTCTAGTTCAGTTCTAGTTCAGTTCTAGTTCAGTTCTAGTTCAGTTCTAGTTCAGTTCTAGTTCAGTTCTAGTTCTAGTTCAGTTCTAGTTCTAGTTCAGTTCTAGTTCAGTTCTAGTTCAGTTCTAGTTCAGTTCTAGTTCAGTTCTAGTTCAGTTCTAGTTCAGTCTAGTTCAGTTCTAGTTCAGTTCTAGTTCAGTTCTAGTTCAGTCTAGTTCAGTTCTAGTTCAGTTCTAGTTCAGTTCTAGTTCAGTTCTAGTTCAGTTCTAGTTCAGTTCTAGGTTTCAGTTCTAGTCAGTTCTAGTTCAGTTCTAGTTCAGTTCTAGTTTCAGTTCTAGTTCGTTCTAGTTCAGTTATTAGTTCAGTTCTAGTTCAGTTCTAGTTCAGTTCTAGTTCAGTTCTAGTTTTCAGTTCTAGTTCAGTTCTAGTTCAGTTCTAGTTCAGTTCTAGTTCAGTTCTAGTTCAGTTCTAGTGTCAGTTCTGTTCAGTTCTAGTTCAGTTCTAGTTCAGTTCTAGTTCAGTTCTATCTCAGTTCTAGTTCATTCGAGTTCAGTTCTAGTTCAGTTCTAGTTCAGTTCTAGTTCAGTTCTAGTTCAGTTCTAGTTCAGTTCTAGTTCAGTTTCTAGTTCAGTTCTAGTTCATGTTGTCTAGTTCAGTTCTAGTTCAGTTCTAGATTCAGTTCTAGTTCAGTTCTAGTTCAGTTCTAGTTCTAGTTCAGTTCTAGTTCAGTTCTAGTTCAGTTCTAGTTCAGTTCTAGTTCAGTTCTAGTTCAGTTCTAGTTCAGTTCTAGTTCAGTTCTAGTTCAGTTCTAGTTCAGTTCTAGTTCAGTTCTAGTTCAGTTCTAGTTCAGTTCTAGTTCAGTTCTAGTTCAGTTCTAGTTCAGTTCTAGTTCAGTTCTAGTTCAGTTCTAGTTCAGTTCTAGTTCAGTTCTAGTTCAGTTCTAGTTCAGTTCTAGTTCAGTTCTAGTTCAGTTCTAGTTTCAGTTCTAGTTCAGTTCTAGTTCAGTTCTAGTTCAGTTCTAGTTCAGTTCTAGTTCAGTTCTAGTTCAGTTCTAGTTCAGTTCTAGTTCAGTTCTAGTTCAGTTCTAGTTCAGTTCTAGTTCAGTTCTAGTTCAGTTCTAGTTCAGTTCTAGTTCAGTTCTAGTTCAGTTCTAGTTCAGTTCTAGTTCAGTTCTAGTTCTAGTTCTAGTTCTAGTTCAGTTCTAGTTCAGTTCTAGTTCAGTTCTAGTTTAGTTCTAGTTCAGTTATAGTTCAGTTCTAGTTCAGTTCTAGTTCAGTGCTAGTTCAGTTCAAGTTCAGTTCTAGTTCAGTTCTAGTTCAGTTCTAGTTCAGTTCTAGTTCAGTTCTAGTTCAGTTCAAATTCAGTTTTAGTTCAGTTTTAGTTCAGTTTTAGTTCAGTTCTAGTTAAGTTCTAATCCAATTTTTTTTTAATCTTCCCATATTATTTTAGATTCATTCTTTTGAAAACCCTCACTAAAAAAATAAAGTACGATTTTTTCGTATAGAGTATACTTTCAGGGTTTTATACCCTTTGAATCCATGTTTATGCTTTAAAATTCTTATCATCATGAAGAGACTGCATACATCTACATACATATATGTACAATATGTATGTTTCTTATGCAAGGAAGGGTTTATAAACATTTTTAGTATCATATCACACATAAAACATATTGTAACATCTAACCATCTTCTAGCTGTACTTGTACAACAAGTGATGATGAATGTGAATCCATACAGTTACTCCACTCCCTTTATTCCATACAAGGTCTGATAGAGTTGTCGTATGAATATTTTATGCCACGATAAAGAGTAAAAGAAATTATTTCAACCGCGACACATACATACGTATATGATACATATCAGTATGAGCGGGTATTAAGTGAAATACTTTAATATTCATTTGCAAAATGAAAGAAAAACAAAGTACGAAGGAGTATTAAAATTTTCATATGTTTAGCATAGAATGGCATGTTCATATAAAAGTGAAACAATTTAAATAAAGTATTACATGTGTTGGTTTGTTGTTTTTTGTGAAATTTCTTAACTGCCCCAAGTAATATTTAATCAGCGAATAAATAATATATTATTAATCGTTTTATGTAGTTGCAATAATAGATTTTGAGATTAAATAATTGAAATAGATTTATATGACCTTGTATAAGTTTTATTTTAATGGTGAACATTTAAAATTGTATTAATGTAATCGTAAAAAAATTAATATTTTTTATCATTTCAATAAACATTTTGTTTATTTATTTATTCATTTTCTATTTCGAGCAACTGCTCACAATATACTACATGTTGCTATTTCCAAAGATTTCTATGATATACACTGCTTTGCAAAGAATTCATATATAACTTCATATCATATACCAATACAACAAGTTCTCTGCAGCTTTGGTAGAAAACATATTTTTTGCTGGGTTTCTTTACAACACCTTTAGCATTAATGTTAAAGCTTCTAAAGATTATTATGACCCACAAAAGCAGTATTATTAAAACCTCTTGTATGATTTCTGAAAGTACTTTACAGTAATAATTCTAAAAAAATATTAAAAATAAAAAATGTATTACTTAGTTATTCCTCAAATGTTTAGAGGATATAAAAAGAAAGAACAACATGTAACTCAAAAACCTTTACCTGTCATTTTTCTCACCCGACTCTACAGCTTATGAGCCTTATTTGTAAAACGATTATAAATGAAATAATAACAAATTTTTATACAATTTATGAGATTACAAAATGTTCATACACTTTATAGTTACTACATGTGTTAATGTTACTTTGCCAACACATGTTTAAAGTGCATACACACACATACATACAAAAGTTCGTTCTACTTAATATTTCAAGTGTTTTTCATGTTGTGATATTCTTTCGAATTTCCTGTACGTTCCGTTTGTTTTTTTTTCTTTCGCAAAAAAACATGAACGAATGAATACAAAAAAAAAAAAAAAGAAAAACTTAGTTTGTTGTACATTTAGTAGTACTAGTTGTTATTATCCTCGTAAGTACTTACTAACACATATAAAATAGAAAACCAGTTTTTTAGGCAGTCATTTGAAAGTATGGTGACTATCGAAATTCTATGATTCGGTTCTAGTTTAGTTCTAGTTCAGTTCTATTTCAGTTCTATTTCAGTTCTATTTCAGTTCTAGTTCAGTTCTAGTTCAGTTCTAGTTCAGTTCTAGTTCAGTTCTAGTTCAGTTCTAGTTCAGTTCTAGTTCAGTTCTAGTTCAGTTCTATTCAGTTCAGTTCTAGTTCAGTTCTAGTTCAGTTCTAGTTCAGTTCTAGTTCAGTTCTAGTTCAGTTCTAGTTCAGTTCTAGTTCAGTTCTAGTTCAGTTCTAGTTCAGTTCTAGTTCAGTTCTAGTTCAGTTCTAGTTCAGTTCTAGTTCAGTTCTAGTTCAGTTCTAGTTCAGTTCTAGTTCAGTTCTAGTTCAGTTCTAGTTCAGTTCTAGTTCAGTTCTAGTTCAGTTCTAGTTCAGTTCTAGTTCAGTTCTAGTTCAGTTCTAGTTCAGTTCTAGTTCAGTTCTAGTTCAGTTCTAGTTCAGTTCTAGTTCAGTTCTAGTTCAGTTCTAGTTCTAGTTCAGTTCTAGTTCAGTTCTAGTTCTAGTTCTAGTTCAGTTCAGTTCTAGTTCTAGTTCAGTCTAGTTCAGTTCTAGTTCAGTTCTAGTTCAGTTCTAGTTCAGTTCTAGTTCAGTTCTAGTTCAGTTCTAGTTCAGTTCTAGTTCAGTTCTAGTTCAGTTCTAGTTCAGTTCTAGTTCAGTTCTAGTTCAGTTCTAGTTCAGTTCTAGTTCAGTTCTAGTTCAGTTCTAGTTCAGTTCTAGTTCAGTTCTAGTTCAGTTCTAGTTCAGTTCTAGTTCAGTTCTAGTTCAGTTCTAGTTCAGTTCTAGTTCAGTTCTAGTTCAGTTCTAGTTCAGTTCTAGTTCAGTTCTAGTTCAGTTCTAGTTCAGTTCTAGTTCAGTTCTAGTTCAGTTCTAGTTCAGTTCTAGTTCAGTTCTAGTTCAGTTCTTGTTCAGTTCTGGTTCAGTTTTTGTTTATTTCTAGTTGAGTTCTATTTTATTTCTAGTTCAGTTTTAGGTTAGTTCTAGTTCAGTTCTAGTAAGTATTAGACGGGGGAACAAAATTCCGATAATTGAAGCGTCGATCGTTAAAGGGTATAATTTCAATGTAGTTTGATCATTCCTGGATCTTAGCTTGAACCATTTTCAATCTCATTATGTCTCTGTTCTTTACCACATCTGCTTGTACTCACTTTACCAAATAGAAAACTAAATACAACAACTAGAAATGCACAAAGTAGAATCGTATGTGAATATAAATCTTTGTATGTAATTGTAAAACACGAATATTACACTTGTGTTTTACGAGTACTAAATACTAGTACCATCACCAACAGACATACATATGTACATGGATACAACAAGAGTGTGTAGTAGTATTTAAAGTGTAGTTACATTTGAAGTATTGACATATGGGTAATGTTTCCTCTAACATCCTCTTCTAAAACTGTTGATATTGTTTTATTTGTGTTTGTAAATAGTTGCCACATTTAACACCGTTGAAAAATGGGTTGAACAAACAAAACAAACTTTTACTTAAACAAAATGAAAAGTTTTTTTTTTCGTACTACAAATGAAGCTAATTTGTGTTATTTTTATCCTTTTTTTTATTTTTCAGGGGGATGGGACCCAAAAGACGTTTATCCGTTGCTGAGCGACAGCAACGTGCGAACGCAGCATCAGCACCTAAGAAACGTTCTACTACCGGTGGTAGTGCAAATCATTCGCCTGCTTCTCGTAAAACAAGCGCGACTGCAACTAGTGGAAGTACTTCAAGTGCTACAGCTACTGCTACAACGTCTCCCTCTAAAGAACCTCTTAAAACCAACTCACCGGCTAAGAAATCTAACAAAATTCTGGTTAAAGAGAAACCCGAAGAAATTGTGGAACCTGCAATAGAAAAGTTGGATCCCAAGGAAATCAAAATTAAGGAGAAGTTTGAAGAGAAAAAGGCTACCACAAGAGCTTCTTCCCGCGAAAATGTGAAAAGAGGTGCTAATGAAGCAGAAGATAAAGTAGAACCTGTAGCTATACTAGCAGCCTCTAAAGAAGATCTTAAAACTTTGGATTCTAGCCACAAAGAAAAAGAGGATAACATTAGTTCCAACTCCAGCACTACTAGTAGCAGTTCTAAGCAACAGGATAAAAAGGATGGCAAACACAAAGCCATTAGCAAAATGCTTAAGAGTTTAGATATAAAAATAAGTGGTTTTGATAATTTACTGCCCAAAGAGCAAAACATTCAAGAGCTCGGTTTGAAATCTTCTATTTCGGAAAATGTCAAAACTAAGTCGCGGGCAGCAGCAGTAAAAGTTATAGCTTCCTTAAGTACGCCCAAACCGGTTAAAAGACCTAAAAATCCTGAAGCAGAAGAGAGAAAGAAGGCAGCACAAAAACAAAACGAAAAATCCAAAGAAAGCTCAAAAGTGTCCACCAAGGAAACGGGGAAAGAGACGGCTAAGGATACTACCAAGAATACGGATAAAACTAGCCATAGTCACAAAGCTAAAGTGGTAGAGAAGACGGTTAAAATAAAAGCGAACGAAAAACATACGACGGAAATAGAGACTTCCAAAATGAACGAACCAGCTGGGCTAGAGAAAGAAAAGAAAGTAGAAATCAATATAGCAACCTTGGAGAAGGAAAAGAGCAAAGAAAAGGAGGAAGCAGCAATTACTTTAATTGAAACTAAAAGAAAATGGCGGCTAAAAAGGCGCGAATAGATCAACAGCTTAAAGCAAAGAAATCTAGTGGAAACAAAACAAAACCAGATAATCCAAAGGAGGTAGAAGAGCATAAAGAAGAGTTAAAAGAAAAGCTAAATAAGGAAACAGAAAAGCAAACTAAAGAAATTACAGAAAAGCAAACCGTTGGTAAATGTGTAGAAAGCAAAGAATCTCAAGTAGAAACAACTCCAAAAGAAAACTTAACAAAAGAAGAGCCAAAAGCACAAATTACAGAAGAATGTCCCAAAATAAAAGATAAAATAGAAGAACCCCCTAAAACAGATGAAACGCTCACAAAGAAAAAGTCACCAAAACATAAAACAACTCAAATAGAACTAGAGCAGAACAAAACAGAAACAGAAGATCTGGAAATCCTAAAATGTAAACCAGAGCAAGATAACGCTCAAGAAAAGAATGCGACTTTAGAAGAGCAGCCAGCTTTGAATACAAAAGAAAAACTAATAAAATCTCCCAAAAAATCACCAACACCCCAAAAACTAAACCAACCCAAAGTAGTTAACGAAACAAAGTGCAATAATTTAGATGAAATGTTTGAAGAGAAAGAAGAGATACTTAAAGTGGTCATAGATTCCAATACCGATGTAGTACAAATGGAAATTGAAGAAATCTCAACTATTAAAGTAAAACCGAAAGACTTAAAGGATGGTGAAAATGGTGCTAGTTTAACACCGACAACTAAGAAAGAAGACAAGTTAAATGAATCTCAACAGAAAATTGAAGAGAACAGGGAAGCGGCAGAAAAAGAGATTAAAGAAGTTAAAACTACCAAAACGCCAGAGCTTAGTAAAGTTAACATGGTGAAGCCAAAGAATATTGTGGCTCAAACTAAAGCTCCTATCAGCAAAATATCAAATATAAAACAGAGATTCCAAACTAAATTTAAAGTAAATCCCATTAAAACTAAAATCTCCAAACCACTTAAGAAACTGCAGTTAAATAAAGTTTTGACAAACAAACCTTTAATGGCAATTGAAAAGAAATCACAAACTACCAATGATGTGTACGATTTCAAATCGGGTTCAGAAGATGAGGAATTCATAAAAATGGACTTGCCTACTTTAAAGAATTTAAGAGAGTTCTCCGAAGAAGACGAGGACAAGAAAATGCAGCAAAAGAAAACACCTGTTAAAAAGGAAACTCTAAAATATGGCGGCAGTAATAAAGATAAAAGCAAGAATGAGGAGTTAATATTGAAAGAGAAAGAAAAAGAAGAGGATAATGAAAAAGAAGAAAGTCTTAAGACTTTGCAAACTAAGGAAAAGCTCAAAAAGGAAGATGAACTAAAGAAAAGCTCCAGCCTGCAAGGTACGCCCAAAAATGAGCACACTACAAAAGAAACACCCACTAAAGTTATAAAAAGTAAACAAGAAACAACTCCCAGAAAAGAAAAACCAGAACAAGAGAAATCTATCAAATTTGCCGAAAGCAATTCTGAGGATAAATCAAATTCTGATGCAGCCGAAGATAAGGCGGAGAAGAAATCTGTTAAGAAATCAGTTAAGTTGCCGAAAAAAGTTTTAAAAACTAATCAAAAGATTAAAACCATTAAAAAGAAACCCTTGAAACAAATAGCCAAGGTATCGAAAGTTGTTAAGAGCAAAATAACCAAGAAAACCAAACAGAAAGCAAATAAAACAAAAAATTCTACATCTGAGGGAAGTAGTAGTGACTCTGAAGATGGTAAAAACCTTATAGTATTTAGTCAGAAAAGACATAGAATGGCTTCTTTAAATGCTTTGGCCAAGGTGCAGTGTTTGTATGAAAATGAGTCAAGAACAGCTTATGAATTGGGTTTGTCTAAGGCCACCTTATTGCCGCCTAAAATCAGAACAGTTGATGAGGAAAAGGATGATGAAAAAGAAAAACAAAAAGATAAAGATAAGGAGAAAGATAAGGAGAAAGAGAAGGAAAAAGAGCCAGAAAAGGAAGTAGAAAAGAAAAAAGAGAAAGATAATGAAAAAGATAAAGAAAAACAAATGGATAAAGAGAAGGAAAAAGAGAAAGACAAAGAAAAGGATAAAGAGAAAGATAAACCTAAAGTCAGCTTTAGTAAAGTAGAGGATAAACCAAAAACTAAGAAAGAAAAGAAGTTAGAGGAGAAAAAGTTAGAGGATCCCCTTAAAATTGAAGAGAGTACTAAAGAGGAAAGTGAAGAAGAACCTCCGGAAGAACCCAAGCGTGAATTGCGTAATGTACCCGGAGGTAGAGGCATAGGCAAACATTGGGAGTTCGATAGTGATTGTGAATTGGATGAAATTGATATTTTACAAATGAAAAAGAAAAAATTGCAAAAGAAGAAAAAAGATAAGGAAGAAAGGCTACAACAGTTAAGAGATAAAAAAGAATTGGAAGGACACACCGCTAAAGAAGGTTCTACTGATCAAGTACCTATAAAGGTTAAAAGAAAATACACACGTATCAAGAAACCTCTTAAGAAGGTAGTAAAATTGGCAACTGGCAGCTCAGATGATGAAGGCAACTCTGAGTCCAGCGATAAGGACGAAAAGGTTAAAGAGAAACTGCAAAAACTTAAAATGAATGAAGCCAAAAAGCCTCCAAAAAAACGTAAACGCATACTTAAGGAGGAACTAATAGGAGACTATAAGGGTATATTGGCTCGTAAACGTATGGCCAGTTTAAATGCCAGTGCTATAGTCGCTGCTACCTATGAAGTAGAAAGACATTTGGATCGTAATTTGGGACAATTAAGTGGCTATGAAACCTATGAAGATGAACAGAAAACACCCAGTAAGAAAACCAAGGAAACTAAAGTGGCATCTAAAGAAACCAAACCCAAAACAGCAGCTACTACCACGGCTACTGTAACTACACCTAATAATACAGCCAGCATCACTTCTGGCTCTACTAACCTTACTTCCAATACTACAGCTAATACTTCTTCAACCACTACCACCACCCCCACGCCGGCTGCTAAAGAAATTCACAAAAATTCTCCCGCTAAAGTGGCCACAGCTACCAGTGATCCCAAGCCTACGGCTCCTCATACACCTACAAAAGTGGAAAAACCCACAAATATTTGTGAAGAGAGTAATGATTCGAAGTATTCTAAAGAAACCAAAGAAACTAATACAGATACTACTACCACTACTACTTCCACTTCGTCGGGCAGTAGTAGCACTACCAACAGTACTAAAGATGCTAAAGATTCCAGTCGTCCTACCTCGTCGAGTGTAGTTATTGTCCAGGATACTGATGTTACCATAACGGGTGTCTATGTTAATTCATCGACGGGTTCTAGCCAAGAGGCCTATTGCAAAATGCAATATCGTGTACAATCTAGTGTAACGGAAGAACGTCTGGTGCGTCCTGGTTCTACAGAACCGCCACCAAAATCCTATACACCTTTGAGCGCTTTGTCGAGTATGTTGCCGCCAGGTGCTACCGCTACTGCAGGAGTAGTAGGTGAAGGTAAGTTGTGTTGTTCATTTTTAATTGTAATGGGAAGATCGTTTGCACGATGCTATTGACTAGACTATAGACTAGACTATAGACTAGACTATAGACTAGACTATAGACTAGACTATAGACTAGACTATAGACTAGAGTATAGACTAGAGTATAGACTAGAGTATAGATTACACTATAGACTAGAGTATAGACTAGACTATAGACTAGAGTATAGACTAGAGTATAGACTAGAGTATAGACTAGAGTATAGATTAGACTATAGACTAGAGTATAGACTAGAGTATAGACTAGAGTATAGATTATACTATAGACTAGAGTATAGATTAGACTATATACTAGAGTATAGACTAGAGTATAGACTATAGTATAGACTAGAGTATAGACTAGAGTATAGATTAGACAATAGACTAGAGTATAGGCTAGAGTATAGACTAGACTATAGACTAGAGTATAGACTAGACTATAGACTAGACTATAGACTAGACTATAGACTAGACTATAGACTAGACTATAGACTAGACTATAGACTAGACTATAGACTAGATTAGAGACTAGACTAGAGACTAGACTAGAGACTAGACTAGAGACTAGACTAGAGACTAGATTAGAGACTAGACTATAGACTAGACTATAGACTAGACTATAGACTAGACTATAGACTAGACTATAGACTAGACTATAGACTAGACTATAGACTAGAGTATAGACTAGAGTATAGACTAGAGTATAGATTACACTATAGACTAGAGTATAGACTAGACTATAGACTAGAGTATAGACTAGAGTATAGACTAGAGTATAGACTAGAGTATAGATTAGACTATAGACTAGAGTATAGACTAGAGTATAGACTAGAGTATAGATTATACTATAGACTAGAGTATAGATTAGACTATATACTAGAGTATAGACTAGAGTATAGACTATAGTATAGACTAGAGTATAGACTAGAGTATAGATTAGACAATAGACTAGAGTATAGGCTAGAGTATAGACTAGACTATAGACTAGAGTATAGACTAGACTATAGACTAGACTATAGACTAGACTATAGACTAGACTATAGACTAGACTATAGACTAGACTATAGACTAGACTATAGACTAGACTATAGACTAGACTATAGACTAGACTATAGACTAGACTATAGACTAGACTAGAGACTAGACTAGAGACTAGACTAGAGACTAGACTAGAGACTAGACTAGAGACTAGATTAGAGACTAGACTATAGACTAGACTATAGACTAGACTATAGACTAGACTATAGACTAGACTATAGACTAGACTATACACTAGACTATAGACTAGACTATAGACTAGACTATAGACTAGACTATAGACTAGACTATAGACTAGACTATAGACTAGACTATAGACTAGACTATAGACTAGACTATAGACTAGACTATAGACTAGACTATAGACTAGACTATAGACTAGACTATAGACTAGACTATAGACTAGACTATAGACTAGACTATAGACTAGACTATAAACTAGACTATAGACAAGACTATAGACTAGACTAGATTATAGATGAGACTATTAATTTGTTCTTAAATTTCGCTTTATCTTCTATTCACAGGACATTCAACTGTCACACCTCCTCCAGCACCCACTGCGAATGCCACTCAATCTTCTGCAGGCGCATCTTTAAGTGAAACCCTCAATGCTGCCGCTGGTCTTTACAATCCAGCCGATCTTGGTATACATACCGAACAAGGTCCCCTCGATCACCATGGACCACCACCACCATCATACGCTGCCGCAGCGGCTGCAGCAGCTGCAGCCTATCATGCCCACCATATGTCTCCTCATGGTGCTGGTCATCATCAACATCAGTACGCTCATTCCCACGTTCATCATCAGTATCAACAGGCAGCTGGTGAACATCATGGTATGCCTCCACCACCACATCATTATGGTGGCTCAGGGCCACCACCCTCACATTATGGTCAACCACCTCCACCACCGGGTGGACATTGTGATGCTGGTTCTCCACCACCTACTTATCGTGCCAGTAGTACTTATGGCTCAAATCTTTCTGGACCTACGGGACAATCCGCAGCATTACCCTCTGCTATGGGTAGTGGTGGTGCTTTTTGTCCCACCAACGTTCATCTTCAACAACAACATCAACAACAGCAGCAGCAACAGCAACAAGCACAACAGTCATCACAAAGTGCAGCACAACAGCAGGCAGGAGCTCAAGTCTCAGCAAATGAAACAAGTGGTGAGTGTGATTGTTTTCTTCCTTTACTTTAAATATAGTTTTTGATAAAATATCAAGTTGTAAGGGGAGCAAATTTATTGATTAATTACTTAATTGACACTTAGTAATGCAAAAGGTATATAGTAGTCATTTCAAAATATTCTTGCTGGGATTGTGGGTAAAATAAATTTCTAAATTTAACATATTTATAGTTAAGCAAATTAGCTTGCAATTAAAATTTTATTTATACTTAAATGCAAACTATAGCAAAATTCTATACATTCTAAATTCTGAAACATATCAAACATTTTGCATTTACAATTATTTTAATTAATTAATTGATGTTAATCTTTAAATTATTATCAAATTCATTGCATACAACACTATTAAGACCATAACACACAGCAATAGACAGGACGATGACAACCTACAGGTCCCTTAAGTAACAAAATATCCTTTTAATAGTCTTAGAGATATAATAACAATCAAAAAGATGCAATCACTATAACACATGATTCAGAGAATATGGAAATTAGTTTGTGTCATACAACAATTCCCAAAATACCATTTAAATTAATACAAATATTAAAATCAAGTTTGACCATAAATTAACAAAATGACCACCTTCAAAATATTTACAAAAGATGTTTAGAATTGAGAAGGATGTGAAAGGAGAAAGGATTTGAATAAGGAAATAAATGAGTTGGGTTTCTGCTACTACAAAGTTTATGTTCTTGAAGTTATTATAATAAAAGTTGTGGAAAATTATTTGTGGGTTATTTCTAGAAAATTTACACAAAAGCATTAAATGGTCAATGTTTATGATGTTCATGCTCTTACTTATTATATTTATTGTAATGTTGTAAATTGAAATACATGGGTTGATGTTGATGGGACCACAACAAAAATAACATTATGTTTCAAAATACTACTTGTGGCACTTAATGAAAAACCAACATAATCTCAAAATATAGTCAATCAAAATGATGTTGAATATACAGAGGGAGAGACCTTAATGATATTAAGAGATGTGAAGGGATAAGTGACAGAGTATGGGGAACAAAGTGTAACAACTGAAAGTCTCGACAAGGGAAGTTAACTCATAGCTAAAGATGGAATAAGACAAATAAGTTGAAGATTTTGAAACATTCTTCATTAAACGTTGTTTAAGAAGTTATAAGCGAATAAAAATCGATTTTTGGTCAAATATACGAGTGATCACAAATCGAGCTTATTTTCTCAATTAAACGCATATTTACGAAGTTATAAACGCTTTAAGATTTTTTTAGTTTTTCTTAGTAAAAATCGATTTTTGGTCAAATATACGAGTGATCGCAAATGAAGCTTATTTTCTCAATTAAACGCATATTTACGAAGTTGTTAACGGTTTAAGATTTTCTTAATGAAAATCGATTTTCTAAGATTTTCTTAATGAAATTCGATTTTTGGTCAAATATACGAGTGATCGCAAATGAAGCTTATTTTCTTAAATTAAACGCATATTTACGAAGTTATTAACGATTTTAGATTTTTTGAGTTTTTCTTAGTAAAAATCGATTTTTGGTCAAATATACGAGTGATCACAAATCGAGCTTATTTTCTCAATTAAACGCATATTTACCAAGTTATTAACGATTTAAGATTTTTTGAATTTTTCTCAGTAAAAATCGATTTTTGGTCAAATATACGAATGATCACAAATCAAGCTTATTTTCTCAATTCAACGCATATTTACGATGTTATTAACGATTTAAGATTTTTTGAGTTTTTCTTAATGACAATCAATTTTTGGTCAAATATACGAGTGATCACAAATCGAGCTTATTTTCTCAATTAAACGCATATTTACGAAGTTATTAACGATTTAAGAGTTTTTCTTAGTAAAAATCGATTTTTGGTCAAATATACGAGTGATCACAAATCGGGCTTATTTTATTAATTAAACGCATATTTACGAAGTTATTAACGATTTAAGATTTTTTGAGTTTTTCTTAGTAAAAATCGATTTTGGGTCAAATATACGAGTGATCAAAAATCAAGCTTAATTTTCCAATTAAACGCATATTTACGAAGTTATTAACGATTTAAGATTTTTTGAGTTTTTCTTACTAAAAATCGTTTTTTGGTCAAATATACGAGTGATCACAAATCGAGTTTATTTTCTCAATTAAATGCATATTTACGAAGTTATTAACGATTTAAGATTTTTTGAGTTTTTCTTAGTAAAAATCGATTTTTGGTGAAATATACGAGTGATCACAAATCGAGCTTATTTTCTCAATTAAACGCATATTTACGAAGTTATTAACGATTTTAGATTTTTTGAGTTTTTCTTAGTAAAAATCGATTTTTGGTCAAATATACGAGTGATCACAAATCGAGCTTATTTTCTCAATTAAACGCATATTTACGAAGTTATTAACGATTATAGATTTTTTGAGTTTTTCTTAGTAAAAATCGATTTTGGGTCAAATATACGAGTGATCACAAATCAAACTTATTTTCTCAATCAAACGCATATTTACGAAGTTATTAACGATTTAAGAGTTTTTCTTAGTAAAAATCGATTTTTGGTCAAATATACGAGTGATCACAAATCGGGCTTATTTTATTAATTAAACGCATATTTACGAAGTTATTAACGATTTAAGATTTTTTGAGTTTTTCTTAGTAAAAATCGATTTTGGGTCAAATATACGAGTGATCAAAAATCAAGCTTAATTTTCCAATTAAACGCATATTTACGAAGTTATTAACGATTTAAGATTTTTTGAGTTTTTCTTACTAAAAATCGTTTTTTGGTCAAATATACGAGTGATCACAAATCGAGTTTATTTTCTCAATTAAATGCATATTTACGAAGTTATTAACGATTTAAGATTTTTTGAGTTTTTCTTAGTAAAAATCGATTTTTGGTCATATATACGAGTGATCACAAATCAAGGTTATTTTCTCAATTAAACGCTTATTTACGAAGTTATTAACGATTTTAGATTTTTTGAGTTTTTCTTATAAAAATCGATTTTTGGTGATATATACTAGTGATCACAAATCAAGCTTATTTTCTCAATTAAACGCATATTTACGTAGTTATTAACGATTTAAGTTTCTGAGTTTTTCTTAGTAACAATCGATTTTTGGTCAAATATACGAGTGATCACAAATCAAGCTTATTTTCTCAATTAAACGCATATTTACGAAGTTATTAACGATTTTAGTTTTTTTGAGTTTTTCTTAGTAAAAATCGATTTCTGGTCAAATATACGAGTGATCACAAATCGAGCTTATTTTCTCAATTAAAAGCATATTTACGAAGTTATTATTAATTTAAGATTTTTTGAGTTTTTCTTAGTGAAAATCGATTTTTGGTGAAATTTACTAGTGATCACAAATCGAGCTTATTTTCTCAATTAAACGCATATTTACGAAGTTATTAACGATTTAGGATTTTTTAAGTTTTTCCTAGTGAAAATCGATTTTTGGTCAAATATACGAGTGATCACAGATCGAGCTTATTTTCTCAATTAAACGCATATTTACGAAGTTTTTAACGATATTAGATTTTTTGAGTTTTTCTTAGTAAAAATCAATTTTTGATCAGAATTACAAGTGATCTTAGATCGAGCTTATTTTCTCAATTAAGCGCATATTTACGAAATTATTAACGATTTTAGATTTTTTGAGTTTTTCTTATAAAAATCGATTTTTGGTCAAATATACGAGTGATCACAAATCGAGCTTATTTTCTCAATTAAACGCATATTTACGAAGTTATTAACGATTTAAGGTTTTTTGAGTTTTTCTTAGTAAAAATCAATTTTTGATCAGAATTACAAGTAATCACAAATCGAGCTTATTTTCTCAATTAAACGCATATTTACGAAGTTATTAACGATTTAAGATTTTTTGATTTTTTCTTAGTAAAAATCGATTTTTGGTCAAATATACGAGTGATCACAAATCGAGCTTATTTTCTCAATTAAACGCATATTTACGAAGTTATTAACGATTTAAGATTTTTTGAGTTTTTCTTACTAAAAATCGATTTTTGGTCAAATATACGAGTGATCACAAATCGAGCTTATTTTCTCAATTAAACGCATATTTACGAAGTTATTAACGATTTTAGATTTTTTGAGTTTTTCTTACTAAAAATCGATTTTTGGTCAAATATACGAGTGATCACAAATCGAGCTTATTTTCTCAATTAAACGCATATTTACGAAGTTATTAACGATTTTAGATTTTTTGAGTTTTTCTTATAAAAATCGATTTTTGGTGATATATACTAGTGATCACAAATCAAGCTTATTTTCTCAATTAATCGCATATTTACGTAGTTATTAACGATTTAAGTTTCTGAGTTTTTCTTAGTAACAATCGATTTTTGGTCAAATATACGAGTGATCACAAATCAAGCTTATTTTCTCAATTAATCGCATATTTACGTAGTTATTAACGATTTAAGTTTCTGAGTTTTTCTTAGTAACAATCGATTTTTGGTCAAATATACGAGTGATCACAAATCAAGCTTATTTTCTCAATTAAACGCATATTTACGTAGTTATTAACGATTTAAGTTTCTGAGTTTTTCTTAGTAACAATCGATTTTTGGTCAAATATACGAGTGATCACAAATCAAGGTTATTTTCTCAATTAAACGCATATTTACGAAGTTATTAACGATTTTAGTTTTTTTTGAGTTTTTCTTAGTAAAAATCGATTTTTGGTCAAATATACGAGTGATCACAAATCGAGCTTATTTTCTCAATTAATCGCATATTTACGTAGTTATTAACGATTTAAGTTTCTGAGTTTTTCTTAGTAACAATCGATTTTTGGTCAAATATACGAGTGATCACAAATCAAGGTTATTTTCTCAATTAAACGCATATTTACGAAGTTATTAACGATTTTAGTTTTTTTGAGTTTTTCTTAGTAAAAATCGATTTTTGGTCAAATATACGAGTGATCACAAATCGAGCTTATTTTCTCAATTAATCGCATATTTACGTAGTTAT